TTAGTTAATTAATCCACTTATTTTAAAAGTGGAAATGAATAAAAACAATTGTTTGACAAAATTTAAAATGCCACTTGTGATGACTGGTTTTATACTAGAAAATCACAAAAAATGTGTTGTCAAGGATTTCACAAGAGTTTTAATGAGTTCTCTTGCAGGATTTCTATAAGTATTGCAATGTAATCAGTTAATTGGTCTGCATTTGGGAATTCAGAAGTCTCTTCAAGATGGTATTTGCCAATGGATGCTAAATTCTTTCTGTATAATTACTTATTAGAGAAGTCACAAGTGAAAGGAATAGCTGAGAGTAGTAATCTATAATCCAGGCAAATTAAAGAGTACAAGTGTATAATAGTTAATTTGGAAAACAATTTGTTTATTCTACTTTTTCTTTAAATGTAAGAGTTTTATATTTTATGCTCAGTTGAAAGTAAATGCATATGACAAATTAAAAACTAGTAAAATTTTCTATCAGTAATATTTTTCTTTGCTACTTCCTAAAATCTTCACTAATTTAGTTAAATGTCATTTTGAAAATTAGGTTCTTTTAGCATTTACCAGCTTTGTCTTTTTAAGTCATCTATCATCTGTCATTGGAAAGTTGGCTATTTAAAATTATCACTAATTATTTTCTCTTATATTTAACAGAATAAGCTGAGAGTAAAAAACTATCCGTGAGTGCTTCTCAGATCTAGACCCCAAACTAATCAGTTGTACTATGTAAAAAGAAAAATCTGTATGTATGAGAATATTGTGTTTTTCCATCTCCAACATATAAGGAAATGAGTGAGGGATTAAGAGAAATAACAAATGGGATTTGGATAGTGCTTCACAGTTTATAAGATACTTTCATATACATATCTCATGAGAATGTCATGGCCACTTTGTAATGGAGGAATCACTACTTCATTCCTTACAATGCTTGTATGTCCTATACGATACTGACACTTATACAGAAGACTATTTATTTGATCCATACATGTTTGCAGTGATGTTTCTGTTTCAATGTCACACAATTTGGAAAATGTACTTTTCCAAAACAATACAGACAGCTAATAGTATTAAATAAAAAGCTTTAAAGCATTTAGCTGTAAAACAAGACTTGCAAGCTCAAATGCCGTAAAATGAATGTATAAATTGGACCAGGTATAAGTGGATATGTGGTGAAGTCTACAGCAAATTAGAGAGTACATTGCTGTTTAAAGCTATGAACACTTAAAAAATATTTAAGCACTATGGGCTGAACAAAACATATAGTCATGAATTGTATTCAACCTCCGCTCTACAACAGCCGAACACTGGGTGTGGGAGTAAAGCAGGAACATAGAAGCACGAGGAGATGATGTGAGAAATGGTTTTGGTCACAGGAATTGGGCCTGCTAAGGACTGAAGTACACAAAACAAAGTTGATAAATATTGCTGATGCTCATCCAACATCAACAGCCTCTTTCTAAGATCTCTCTTTTCCGATGTGGTTTTGTTGTTGTTATTGTTGGTCTTATGGCATAATATAGTCCTAAGAACACTGTAAAGATGTAACCTCCGACTTAGACTCTTTAGTCAGTTTCCTTCTCTGTAAAATGGAGGTAATAATAACTATAGCATAGAGTCATTGTGAGATTAAATGAGAGCATGACAAAGGCCTAGCAGAGCTCCTTTCACATGGTAAGTGCTAAATAAATGGTGGGTATTATCATCTTATCATCATCATCATTGGAAAGAAGCACTTCCTTACTCATTCCTTGAACAACTTCTTAATATATACTGATGATGGAAGTTAACTTTCAGAAGTGTGTGGTAAGAAGCCTCAAAGAGGCTTTGTTTGCCAGGGGGAAAAGTAGGGTTCTTTCCTTTCACTTAAATAATTTCAGCAAGCACAAACCCACATATAGATGTGTCCCCTCTCTGTGAGCTGATCAGTAAGCTCAAACAATCTCTTTCCTTTAAAATTATAAAAGGTACTGGGCAAGTTAGTCAGACTCTATCCGCAAGTATCTAGACCACTGCATCATAAAATGACATTCATAAAAATGCCCCAAGAATTTGGTTCAATTAAAACTGCATTGATTGAACATTTCTGTGTGAGACACTATGCTCAGTTCTAAAAAGGTGAGATGAAGAGAGCAGGGTCTTTGACCTTGAATCCCTGAGTTGTCCAGAGTAACGGGGGGTGGGGGGGGGGAGGGACAAAAATATAAATGGATCATTTCAATACAAATGCAAATAAGTGTCTGAGTCCCTCACTCTCTACTGTGCTTCTTTCCCTTTATCTCTTTTAAAGTGCCATGGAAAGGCAGGGGTTAATACACTATGAAAAGACAGAAAAAATTCATGCCTATTCTTCAAAGTCTGGTTTTAACTCTATGTCCTCCAGGAAGCATTCTACTCCACTTTGATCTTTGATTTGCTTGAGATTCTTTGAAAGTTGCTACTTAACCATTTTGGCCCTTAATTATTTTTTATCTAAAGAGGAAATTTAGTTGCTTTCTGGACATATGTCCTATATGCCCAACTAGATTGTAGTGAGCCCTCTGAGGAGAAGGACCCATACTCTTTTGAGCCATGTACAATGCAATATCCACATTAATCTGAAAAACCAAATGTTTTGTTGTTGTTACTAGGTTAAAAATCATTAGAAAATAGTCCACAAATACTAGATGCAATAGTTTGGAACTCTTATATTGAAGACATCTACAACACAGTGTTTCATAAAATTTAAAGACTTTTCGGTGCAATTTAATCATTTAAGTTAGATTAGAGGCAGCAAAAAATGGTAAATATAAATTGTTATCTGTTATATAACAAATGTCATATTTTCACTTTTAATCAACATTTATGTTTTTGGTCCTGCTGTATAACTGGTGGTAACAACTTGTACTTACTCACAGGACAACAGAATGTATATTCAACTGCCCCACAATGAAGAGTAACAGCTAGAAAAAACTTGGAAGGATTACTCATTTGTTTTAATACCACGTGCAAAGATGGTTGGGATGGCAAGGTAATACTCCTAAAACTCAAAATCACCAGTTTGCATTTTGCTAATTTATCATCTCAATATGTTTCCTAAATATTGTTACTAAATCTTGAAAAAAAAATGTTTATTAACATAAAAGTTGTTAAACATTTATGTTAATAAACATAAAAGAACTAATAAAGAACTAATAGTTAACAGTGAAGAAATTTTTTAATAATTGTAAATAGATTGAGTCCTATATATGTTTACTTCCAATGTCTAAGATTCTACCACTATCATGTCTGATTTATTTTATCTCTCCTCTTTCATATTTGTCTCTTCCTTTCATTTCCACTGCCAGTAGTGAAATTTTGCTTTTTATTACTTTTTGTTTAGATTACTGCAACTGCCTTCCCAGTTTCCTGACTTCCCCTTCAGATTGATCTTTTATCAGATGCTACATTAATCTTTCCTTAATGTAGCTCCAAAATTGTGATTTCCAGCTCAAGCATCCCGAATACTTCCTTCTTGCTTAAAGAACGAAGTCTAACCTGCCTTAGTCTAGCAGTCTTCCATTTTTCTATCCTTCTTTCCCAATTGTCTGCTTTATATACTACTCACACTACATACATTTATATACTTTGTACACTAAAAGGAGACTATTCATAGTTCCTATATATATATACACCTTTAACTTTGTAATCTCTATTTTATTAATGTCTTGCCAAAGCCTATGCTCCTCCAAATTTTGTCCATCCTTCGGCACCAAGCTCATATGTCACCTCTTCCATGGAGCTGTTTCTAAACTCCTGAGAAGTAATTAATATTTTTCTTTCTGAAATTCTATAGAAAATTTTCACTATCTCTTTTATATAACTTGTTATTTTGTACCTTAAAATATATTTAGGTAAGTATTTTTCTCCTCTACCAGTGTGAAAGCTCCTTGAAAGTAGAGTCTAAGGCAGTTTCACTTTGCAAGCTCTACTGTGCCAAGTATACAGGACATAGTAGATGTCTAGATAGTTGTTGAGCAAATGACTGAACAGAGTAATTAGTTTTTAGTAGCTTCAGAACTCTGGGGTTTATATAAAGAACTATATAAAGGATCTACATGAACCTTATTGAGTATACAGGACATAGTAGATGTCTAGATAGTTGTTGAGCAAATGACTGAACAGAGTAATTAATTTTTAGTAGCTTCAGAACTCTGGGGTTTATATAAAGAACTATATAAAGGATCTACATGAACCTTATTGACAATCATGAAAAAAAGTTATTGATGTGGAAAAATCTGACTTGCTCCATAAACTAGAACAATGGTTGTCCATCTATTTTCTATAGCATCTTTGGGATTCTAAGTGGTCCAGGGGTCTCCTTCCTTAGCAGTGGGAAATGCAAGTGAGCAGAATTCTCTACCCAACACTCTTCCCTCAACCAAAGATGCCCCATTTTGTATATTGGCCTTCCATGTAAGATTTTGCTTAGAGAAAGGTTTCAGTGTTCAAGAAAATTTCTGACATCCCTTGGGTCCCACCACGGCAACACTACGATTCTATATTTGTTTCAAGTCTCTATTTTGCATGAAAGCTCTTCACACAAAAACTAGGTAAATAAGCTTCTGTGGTTTGGCTGAATTTACTGACACAATAATATCAAAATGTTAGCATAAAGTAATGTTTCAGATAATTTTATATCAGGTTCTCCTCTAATACCTGACTTTGTATGAGACGTGACATTCTTTAATAGTCATTGAACTCAATCCTTGATCTGACCTTATTGACTTGGAAACTAGTTTGCTGGTTTATCTTATAGACATCACTATGTTTCTGGACATTCTTCATAGTTTGAAAGATCCCTGACAAGCAGTTTTACAGCTTTCTATTCCTGTAAAAGATAATGGCAAAACTCTCTATTCCCTAGGCTTATGGTAGCCTGTTCCCTTACCCACAGATTAGGTAGAAAAACCTGATCTGCCCTAAATCTAAAATGTATCTTCTCTGAAATCTGTTTTAGACTCCTAGTCAGTTATACAATTCTAAGTTCATTATTTAGGAGAAAAAAAGTACCTGTTCAAGTCACGGTGTATAATTGGCTGTGTCAGGTTGTGAAGGTACTCCATACCTTTGGCAACATCCACTGCAATAATTAATTTAGACTGTAAATCGAGAATCCTAGAATTTAAAAATAGATTGAATGGAGATGAAATGGTCAAAGCCAACACCATATCTTTATTAAAGGTTAAGCTAAAAATTCAACAAATCTGGAAAAATAGATTTTCTAGTTTAGAAAATGCTTAATTATGGATTAACTCAGATATATAACACTTCTTGTTTAAAATATTATACCAGATTTTCTAATTTATTTTTAATATTATACTTGATTTCTTTGTAATAATATAAAAATGGAATCTATTTTAATCACTGAGTGAAACCACATTCTAATTATTGTATGCATAAATCTAGGAAGTGAATTCAAATTAGACTTGTGCAAGACCATTCTTTTTTAAAACTTTCTTTTATATATATACTGTGATACCTGGTAATTATTTTACTCTGAGCTTACATATATCTGCTTTACTGGTATGTTAAATTTAGCCTAATTATTATAAGCTTCAGTTGCCAATTTAAATTCCTTGAATTTCTTACCTTCAATTGATTCCTGTTAGGGAAGCACAAAAGTATTTCTATTAATTGAAACACAATTATTAGGCATACATTAGCTGTGTTTATAATGGTACACATTCTAGCATTAAGAAATTTCAGAAAAGGAAGGTTCATGCAGTCAGAAACCCTCTGGAGTGATGCAAGGATAATTCCAATGATATGTCCAAAGATAAATCAGACCAAAAGACCCATACCTCTTTTGTTCATGAAGAAGGGAGAACAGAGAACCCCCTGATATGTACTGAGTGACGATGGCAAACTGGCTAGGATCATTCAAGCAAGCGCCCACAAACTGAATTACACAAGGATGATTGAGCTGGCAGAGAATGGACACCTCTCGGCAAAACATATCCACATCTGACTTGGAGCAGTAGGTATTGGCTCGATAACTAGAAATGGCAGCAAAGGGAAATCCTCAGTGAACAGATGGATCCAAACAAGGGGCTTGCCATGCATATGCTTCTCAAAGGTCATAACTCCACCTGCATGCTAAATTTTTTTATTTGCCTGCTTACCGTTTTATAGCCACTATTTTATTTCTGCATCGTCCTTTATAAACTTTCCCAAAAGAACCTAAAATTGTTTAAGAGAAACAAGTAAACACATATTATCTTGAGCTCATTAAACTAAAGCAGACCTTTATTTTCTTAGGTTACCTGAGCCGATAATCTCATGGAACTCAATTTCTGAGAGCTGAAGATGGAAATGTGAAGGCAATCCAGCCCTTAGGAGGAGAACATCTGCCTTTTCTGCAAACAGGAATTGCCATTATTTTTTAAGATAAAAAGCATACAGGTGGATGTGTACACATGATTGCATAGGTACACTTAACCAAAAACATCATTTTTTAGTAACATTTAATTTTCCAACTGTAATTGACTTCTTGGAGATACTAAAACCTTATCACAAATGATCCCTGTTCCCCCTGCATTAAAAGCATGTTAGTTCTCTGTTTGGGTTACTCGAACTTTGTTATCAGGTTCCTGATCTGATCACCAACCAGCTTGCCTGCATGACATGCCAACCTTGGGGTACAGTCCATATCACATCATGATGAAGGTTCTTATCTGTTCAATCCCTTCAATCTGTCCCAATAGGCTTAGCCAAATATCCATAAACTAAACCTCAAAGGGATGCCAATTAAATGACAGAAAATAAGCACACAAATCATTCTGAAAAACCAAAAAATAATTTTAAAGGATTTCACATTCCAAACAGTTAAATATAAATTTACACATGAATAATATTTTTTACTTTACTGATCCAATTGTATCAATTTCTATATGCACAATACATTCAAAAAAATTCCCAAAGTTTCACTTGTAATTTGGGATACTTATTTTAAAATAAGTAATTTTTTTTCAAATATTTGTTTTCTAAGGCAAACCTATTCCCAATTCTTCTTAAGGAAACATTAATATTTATAATTTATATTTTATTAAAAATACAAATATCTAAATAGCACTATGAGAATTTGATCTTTCTTTAATACTCACGTGACATTTTTACTGTTGTTATATCTCCATAACTGAAATGGTGTAATTACGGGAAGAATGGTCTGTTGGTAATATTGCTTATATGTGTAAAATAGTCATCATTTGTAATAGGTAAAAAATAATCAAAAGTTATATTTGAGGCAATAGTTATCATTAGTAATAAGATATCACAATCATCCCATATCATAATTACCTTTTGTCATGCTTTTGATCTTCCCCAAGGGGGATGGAACAGACACATAGGAGCCATCTAGAAATCAAATCATATAATAGAGTTGAAAGTAGCAATCATTTTTTTCTACATAAAATTTCAACATTATAAAAAGAAACAGTTAAAAGAAATTTGCTAAGGAAACCAAGTAAGACTATAGCTTGAAACCTAAATCTTTCTCTGGATACTGAAACTGAACAGCAAGTGTTTATTTAGAAAGTGCATAAAAAGATTTTTTAAAAATCCAGGGTGGACCAGACTCCAGCAGATTTAATTTGTGTCTGAATATGAGTGTTCTCTACCCTGCCTTAATAGATGAACTGAAATGGAAAATGACTGCTCTCAGCTTACACAGGCCTTCCTGCTTGTGCACAAGCCTTGTAAACATCATGTCCAGAAAATGTTAAATTTGGAGAAATTGCAGAATGGTGAGTTAGAAAATACCCCAAATGGAGGCTTCTTTTCCTAGACATAAATTTTCCTAAAATAAAGCTAATCTGACATAGGCTATGCCCTCCTCCCTGGCCCCACAATAATAGTAAGAGAAACACAGACTTAGCTTTATGCATAATATTGCACAACAGTGAAAACTAAGTAAGAAGGCAGGTACCTCCTCCAGGCTGGGAATATTCATTACAGGGCAATTCATCTTGTGGTCTCTTATAATGCTTCAGGAGTGTGACAATGGCATCATGCCCTTTATGAAAAGACAAAAAGAACAAAGGGTCTTAATTTTTTGCTTGATTTATTCAGCCCACTCCCTAATCCAAAAAATGATTGGACATAGCTTACAACATAGGACATATCTTAAGAGATAATATATTGCAATAGGAATTTAGTACTTTCATTTATTCATTCATTCAAAATAATTTATTAAGACTCTACTATACGCGAAGCACTATGTTAGGTACTGTGATGGGTACTGGAGATACAGTGAATGAGGTGACTATGGTCCTATCCTTAAGAAGCTTACAATGTGGCTGAACAATTGTAAGAGTGAGGAGAATTTCTAAATGAGGAGATATCGGGAGCTACGCATTATCTTTCCTGGTTACCATATGTGCTTTTTACCCTTTAATCGTGTAACAAAGTCACGATTAAAGGGTAAAAAGCACATATGGTAACCAGGAAAGAAAGATGTATTTGCTGCAATTGAGCATTACATTTTGTTGGCAATTGCAGTATAACACGGCACTAAGATAATTTACGTAAAAAGCACATATGGTAACCAGGAAAGAAAGATGTATTTGCTGCAATTGAGCATTACATTTCGTTGGCAATTGCAGTATAACACGGCACTAAGATAATTTACATAGGTTTCTGTGGCAGAGACAGGTGGTTTTGTCACTAGGAATGGCTGCCCACCCAGGGACATTTCCCTATCCACCTAATTGCGGCCTTGAGACATACTCTCACCAAGAGAATATGAGCAAACGTGATGTCACTTCCAGGTCTGGGCTTTAAGAAACAGGTGAGCTTCTCTACTTTCCCATACTCTCTGCTGGCAGGACGCAGAGGGTTCTGAGGCCCTAGGAGTGGGGAGAAAGTTATCTAGTGATCAGAAATGCCCACCCTAAACTGTTACAAAACTCAGAAATATATTTGTTATATAACACCTCCAACATTTATTAATTGCAATAGGAACCTATTATTGTGAAGGATAAAAATGCTAAATGCTCCTCTGAGTAAACCAATGATTTTCAACAGAATTAAAATTTGATACTATTTCATGCTTTCACTGTAAAAATAACCTACTGAAGTTAATTTATAAAAGAGGAAAAAGAGTTAACCTTAAAGACCTTGCCAAGAGACTTGTGAAATGCAACTGAACTCACTGTAAAAATGGCAAAGTTTAGGAACTGAAAAGGCATAACTGCTTATCTGTATTCCTTGGCTTGTAGCCCCCTTCCTGTACCTTTAAAGCCAGCAATGGTTGGCTGAGTCCTCACATCATATCACTCTGACCTCCACTTCTGCTTTCCTTTTCCACATTTCAGAAACTCTTGGTTAATGGACATGAGGAATGTTTATATTTTGTAATGATGAACATGCTAATTATCCTGATTTGATCATAACACATTGTACACAGGTGGTGATATTCAACTCTGTACCCCAGAAATATGTATAATCAATCATTTTTCAATTAAAAAAAAGAAAAAGAACCTCTCTCATTACAATGGGCCCACTGGGATAATGCAGGATAATCTCTTCCCCTAAAGTCAGCTAAATGACAACTTTAATTCCCCTTTGCCACGTAAGGCAGCATACTCACACGTTCTAGGGAATAGGACCTGGACATCTTGGCGGGGTGTGGGTGCGGGGGAAGCATTACTCTGCTTACCACACCCCATTTAATGAAGATTTCAGTGTGCTTTGCTTGAGTGTTAGTGCTGCCTTCCGTTAAGCATCTCTTTTCCTTCCTCTGGTGGCCGTTTTAGCCTCAGGATAAAAGTACCACCAACAAAAAAATTCCTTTGGAATTAAAATACCCCCTCATCTATGCCTTGCTAGATTCATAGGTTCTGAGGTTTTGTCTTCTCCCTTCCACACTATCTGACCCCACTTTAGTGAATCTGTAGTGCTTCTGAAATCGTTCTTTACTTAATTTGTTCTTTAAGTGTTGGGGGTCAAGGAAAAAAAGAACAAAGAGATAAACTTTTTCTTATTTTGATTTTTCTTAGGAAATACTCCTTTGGGGAAAGAAAACAACCAAACTCTTAGCACTTACCCAAGCACAACCAAGCTTAATTCACAGAGCCCACCGCCCTGCCTGTCTCAGCACCTCTGTTGAATTGACTTAAGCTGACAGATGAGAGGGCCTCATGCTTTCCCCAGTAAAGCAGAAAGCTGCATCTTGAATCCTGAACGCCTGTGTGAGTCAGTGATCACACCCTTGATGTTACCTTTCATTTCAACAGCTCTCTTGGCTCCACTTGCTCGGAGCAGTTTTAATTTCCTGCCAGCACAGTGGCACAATTTGCTGGCATTTTCTTTGGGATGCTTTTCATCAACAGCCTAATGAGTGCCTGGGTTCTGGCTGATGATAAGCATGAGACTGCCAGGGAAATGCCAAGAGGCTCCTCAGCTCTGGAAGGCATCTCTGCCTGATTTCCCACCTCCTGCTAACTGTGAGCTAAGGCACCCTCATATGGGAAATCCTTTGCCGCCAGAAGTACTCTGACAAGCCATGAAAGTGTGTGCAATGAAACCCGAAAATGTCTACAGCCCAGCTCCCTGAGTTTTGTCCACAAAGAGTTAAGCAGAAAAATACCTCGACGGAGCTTACTAAATAGACTTGTTAAGCCAAACTCTTGATAAGGGATACACCCAGATAATAAGGAACACTAATGGAACACATCCAGAGATAATCAAACTTCCACTAATTAAATAAAATGTTTTCCTATATCTAAGAATTTACTATCTACATCCAAGCATTTTACCCAAATAGGAGGTTGCTATGTTATTAGCCTAATGCAGTTATAACAATGATTTGCACTTTCAGAGTATTATTCTTGGAGCACCTGAGGGTTTTGGCAAATGTGATTCTCCTGCCAGCTTGAAGTCTGTTTCATTTCCTGCTTCCCATTCTTCCAGTCTATGTGTATTCCCCAAATTCCATGCTTTCCCTTTAATTTGTCTCTTTCTTGTGTTCTTTTACTTCTTACATTTTGTGTGACATCCTTCCTCCACAAACCGCTTTGCTTTCAACTTTCTGAATAGCTATTTATTTTAAAACCTAGATTTTTGTTTAAGATTACAAGTCAGTTCAAAAGGCTGTTTACAAAGACAGTTCAGTACCTAAATCACGGCTGTGTACACAACGGAGACTCCATAATTATATAAGAAGGACAAATACAACTTTTATTATTTCCCTATAATGTTGTCTCTCCTCTCACCATTTCAACTTAGAAAGAATGAATGCTGTTCTCATTTCTTGCTATGAAGATTATTTTAAGAACTTGCTCTGGAGATTAATGGTAAATGACAGCAGTACTAAGATCTTCTCCCTGACTTTGTGATTCTGGGGCCCTTTGGGTCCAAGTCTGTATTAGTTTTTGTGTTGCTATAGCAGAATACTTGATACTGGATAATTTATAAAGAAAAGATGTTTATTTGGCCCATGACTCTGGGACAAATCTGGTGCAGGCCTCAGGCTGCTTCTATTCATGGAGGAAAACAGCAGGCAGCCACTGGCTACAAGCAGATCACATGGCAAGAGGAAGCAAGAGAGAGAGAGAGAGAGAGAGAGAGAGAGAGGGGAGGTGCCAGGGTCTTTTAAACAACCACCTTTCATGGGAACTAATAGAGCAAGAACTTGCTCACTACCCCCTCCCCCAGGGAGGGCATTAATACATTCGTGAGGGATCTGCCCCTATGACCCAAACCACTCCCAACATTGCCAAGTTGGGGATCAGATTTTGACATGAGCTCTAGGGTGACAACACACCCAAACTCTGTCACAGGCCAAGGAGAGAACATGGAGATTTGGTCTTGATTACAGAAGCCGAGGAATTGGCTTCTCATGTGTTCCACATGCCCGGGTCATCAGAGGTGCAGCCTGGGCCTTGCTTCATACTGGACTCAAAGAACAAAGATTTTACAGCAAGACTTACAGTATGTGATACTTTGCCCAATATTGTAATATCTCTCCTTCCCAACATGTTAAAAACTCATTTTGTAGAAGCCTTGAAAAGTGGGATCAGAGGATGGCTACTTCTGATGTTTGCCCTTCTATGACTCATCTTCCTCCTGACAGTCCTGGTCCCTCATACTATCATTTAGACCAGAGGCAACAAAAATTCCTGACTTGCTACATCTTCTCATGGCTTCAGTTTGAAAGATGTCTCAATTTTACATTACAGAGAGGGAACTCATATCCCCTTTGACCCATTATTCTTGTCCCTTAATCACCAGGCCTGAGCAAGAATGTCACCAATTCTTCACCTTGAGATAAGAATCCACAGCATGAATGCTCTTGCCAAGAGAACATCATATACAAACTAAATTATTTAACTATCTTACTTCCTTATTTCTTTCCTTCCCATTCTGCTTTCCTTTTCCTTTTCCTTTCTTCAAATATTTATCATGCACCTATCAGGGACCAGCTCCAATAACATCTTCCCAGGGAGGCCTTTCATGATTACTCAATTTTAGATCGTGTCCTTAGACTTTTTACTCACAATTGCATCTCCCTTTTTTTTATTCATAGCACTTATTGTTATCTGATGTTTTCTATTTGCTTTCTTGCTTGCAGCTTGTCTCTTCCAGCTAGAAATGCAAACTTTCTAAGAGCAGGAGATACTGTCTGTCTTACTCACTGTTTTACCTCAGTTTCTAGCATAGTGTTCATCACATACTAGGCTGGCAATAAATTTTTGTTGAATGAATGAATAGTAATAGGTACAAGAAATACAGTGTTGAAATAGAGTCTTTTTTTTTTTTACTCTTGTAATAAATGCTATCTAGTGGAAAATAAATAATTATATGAGTATAAATGTTCACTCAAATTTTACTTAGCCAACGTCTAGGGAGAAAAGGTAGAGGATGCTGTGAACATGCATATGGTGATATCTTACAACAATCTGGAGGGGTCAAGGAAGAGTTCCTTGAGAAACTGTCTTTTAAGCTGAGCTTGAAAGATGAGGATGAGTTGGTTGAGCAAAATGGGAAGAGAATAACATTCCAACCAAAGGGAAA